TTACACTTGGATTTATCTCATGAAATCCAGGGATGAAATACTAGCTATTGTGCAAAAATTTCATGAACTCATCCTCACCCAGTTTAACACTCAGATCAAAATATTCYGTTCTGATAATGCTAAGGAGTATTTTGAGAAAACCCTCTCCGCCTATCTTGAAATTTTTGGGGTTATTCGTCAAAGTTCTTGTTCTTACACTCCACAACAGAACGGGGTGGTGGAAAGGAAGAACAGACATGTGGTTGAAGTTGCCAGATCCCTCYTGTTTGCATCCCATGTTCCTATAAAATTTTGGGGAGATGTTGTTCTTACTGCTACTTTTTTTATCAACCGTATGCCCTCCCGGGTCCTTAACTTCAAAACCCCCTTTAGCCTTCTCTTCTCGGATGAGGATATTTTTTCTCTTCCTCTCCGTGTTTTTGGGTGCACTTGCTATGTGCATGTTCACAGTCATCAAAGGCACAAGTTTGAACCTAAGACTCATAAATGTGTTTTTTTGGGATATGCTTCCACACAGAAGGGATATTGCTGTTTTGATCCAGTTAGTGGCACCCGCTTTGTATATCGGGATGTCACATTTGCTGAGTTGACTCCTTTCTTTAGCATTTCTCCTGAGGGGGAGAAATATGAAGAGCCCTTTGCTATGTCTCCAGCTGTTCCTCTTCCCATTCCTCTTGAGTCCTATCATGAGGTGTCTACTTCTCCCACTGGACCTACCTCCGATATTCCTATTCCTCCTCCTCCTCCACCACATTCTCCTATAATTCCTCCTCATCATATTCTCCAAAGGTGGTACCAAAGGCACAGATTCAGACATGGGCAGGTTGTTTCTACTCCTACAGAAGAGTCTCTTGCTCCTCCCATCATTATTGAGGTAACAGGTCAGCCTTCTTCTGACCCATCTACATCTTTCCCAGACCTTGACCATCCTATTGCTCTCCGCAAGGGCAAGCGGAAGCGTACAGCCCATTGTATCTCCAAACACCTGTCTTATAGCCTTCTCTCTCCTTCCTACTACTCTTTTCTTGCTTCTGTTTCTTCTCATGTGATACCCAGGTCCATACCGGAAGCCTTATCTAAACCTTAATGGAGGGATGTTATGATGACTGAACTGGATGCTTTGCATAAGAACCATACCTGGGATATTGTTGACTTGCCTGAAGGGAAGGAACCAGTGGGTTGTAAATGGGTGTTTACCATTAAATATCA